GAGTTCCAGGTGGGGACTGAGTTTTCCAGTTTTCATCACTGACAGGGCCGATCCTTAAGAGCTCAGCTCAGGCCTCAATGCTAGAGTACTGTTACAGCTATAAACTTCTTTCTTGATTGCGGCACCTTTCTGTCCCTCCCCTCACCCATGTTCTCTCCACAGGGAGTGGATGCAGCTTTCTGCCTTAAAATTGATGGAGTATTTTGATGGGGATAAGAGTTCTGTGTTATCCAGCAGTATTTGCAATAAGAAAGGGACTTTCTTGACATTTTATTAATTAAATTTGTACTTTGATGATTTCATACATGTATCTATTGCATTCTGATTGCTTTCACCCCTACCCTTGCTCATTTCCCCCTTCCTTTGTTTACTCCCCCCCCCCAATTCCTTACTAATCTCTTTCCCACATTCATGTCTTTTTGTTTTGTTTGTGTCCCTCCAGGTTTAACCAGAATCATCTATGTGGCCTTGGGTTGGTATCTATCAGACCCTGGTGGGTACATCAGTATAACTGAAACCAACAAATCCCTATCTCCTAGAGTTCATCAGGATAGTTCAGCAGTGAAGGATAGGGTCCCATGAGCCCCTCCCCCATCATGACTGACTGTTGAGAGGCCCTGACTTGGGCAAACCCTGTTCAAGTAATCCCATCTGCTGTGAGATCGTGATGACATTGATCCTATCAAATCTAGAGGACAGAATTTCATTGCCCTTCTCCTTATCTTCCAGCTCTTACTGTTCGCTCTTCTGCAGGGTTCCCTGAGTCTTAGAAGGGGTCGAATAAATGACTTATTTAAGGCGGAGCCCTCATATGTCACTTACTCTCAGTATCTTGGGGCAGCCAGCCATGAGTCTCTGCATTCATTGCTGTTCACTGCAAATAGAAGCTTCTCTGATTGTGGGGCTGGAAAGATGGCTCAGAGGTTAAGAGCACTTGCTGCTCTTTCAGAGGATCTGAGTTCAGTTCCCAACTTCAGTGTTCAGTGGCTCACAACCATCTGCAACTCCAGCTCCAGAGGATCTGATGCCCTCTTCTGGTCTCTGTGGGCATGCACACGAATAGCACACATTCACACACACACACACACACACACACACACACACACAAATAATGCTACTAATAAAAACAAATCTTTAAAATAGATCTCTGATTAGGTTTGAGAGCAGCCTTTGTCTAAGGGTATAAACAGATATAAGGCAGTTTGACATTATGTATATTTAGATAAACATTAGTAGTAATAACCCTCATAGGGTCCATAACCTCCTGAGGTTTTTTTTTTTTTTAAACAGCTTTTCAACACCCAGGCATGAGATCCCTTCTGTGGAGGTAGCTTCAAATCCAGTTCTAAAGTGGTTCATTTTCCTCACAACAGCTGTGACAGTGTGCCACTACTGCAAAAGTTGGACACATTTTGCCTGGCAGGTTGGTGTTGGCTTTTAGAGTTCATTACTGTGTATGACTGTTGATGCCTTTTCTTGCCCAGAAGTCTGAATAGTAGAAAAGGGGCTTTTCTTATCTGTTCCATCCTCAGTCCTGATAGAAGTCCTACTGTCGTTGCCTAAATCTTCACCATAGATAGATCTTTGCTTGGTTTTATTTTTTCATCTTAAAAAATGGTAAATTGAATTTGGTGATGGTTTCTTAGATGTGACACCAAAATCACAAAAGAAAAAAAATAAGATAAATTAGACCCCTTTAATATTAAAAGCTCTTGTCAAAGAACACTATCTGGCTGGGCATGTTGGTATACATTTCACATCGCAGCACGTGGGAAGCTGAGATAGGAAGACCACAAGTTCAAAGCCAACCTGGTCTACATGAAGAGGTACTGCCTCAAAAAAAAAGTCTCTTGGGACTGGAGAGATGGCTCAGTGGTTAAGAGCACCAATTGCTATTGCAGGGGACTTGGGTTTGATTCCAAACACCCATATGGCTAAAAACCATGTGTAACTCCAGTTCCAGGAATCTAATGCCCCCCCTCTGACCTCCATGGGCATTGCACAACATGGATGCACTTACACACATACAGGCAATATACTCATTAACATAAAATACAAATAATAATAAATAAAATCCTTAAAAAAGTCTCAATGCAGCAACACTAGTGGGAACACCAGGAGCCTGGGCTCATAGATCATTCTAAGAAAATGATAAACAAGCCAGACACAGGGGAGATCACCAGCTTCAATAAGGTCACGTTGAGGAAAACAGAGGGGCAGGAGAACATCTTGCCAACCACAGAGACCACTAAGCAGGAGAAGTGGAGTGAAACTTCATAAAAGCCTAGACTAGAGATTCTCCTGGCAATGTAAAGGAAGAGCTACCTGCTGGATGAACACAAACAGGCTGCACTGGGAACATGGCATTCTGAGTGGATGTCACCAGCATGTAGGTCTCTGAAGGGGAGACCCCAGTCAGACTGCTAATTTCTTCTGGTGCTCCCTGGGATAGTATAGGAAATTATTTGTATGATTAATGAAAAGAAAACACACCTTGTTACCAAAAAGGGAATTGGGGGAGAAATACACCAGAATGAAAAGGCAACTTACAGAACGGGAGAAAATATTTGAAAATCACATGGATAAAGATTTAGAATCCTGAGTATGTACAAAACTCTTACAACTCTTTTTTGATGTCAAAAGGAGCTTGTGGGAGTGTTTCTCAATAGCAAAATAACAATGAAAACTTTATTTAAAAAGTGGGCAGTGGGGCTGGAAAGATGGCTCGGTGGTTAAGAACACTTGTTGCTCTTGCAGAGGACCTGGGTTGGGTTCCCAGCACCCACATGGTGGCACACAACCATCCCTAACTACAATTCCAGGGGCTCTGATGCCCTCTTCTGATCTTCACAGGACTCATATATGCAGTGCACTTACATACATGTAGGCAAAATACATATATACATATACATAAAATAAAAAAAAATTAAATCTTTTTAAAAAAGTGGGCAAGGTGGGGACTGATGTTGTAGCTCAGGGACAAATCCCTTGCCTACCATGTGTAAGGTCTTGAGTTTATCCTTTGAATCTGAAGAAAAGAAAGTACTCAGACATTTTCCCAAAGAAAATATGCAAACAGCCAAAAGTACATGAAAAGATGCTCAACACCACTAACCAGGAGGGAAATGCAGATCAAAACCACAGTGTAGGGGTTGGAGACATGGCTCAGCGGTTAAAAGAACTGACTACTCTTGCAGAAGACCCAGGTTCGATTCCCAGCACCCACACGGCGGCTAACAATGTCTATAACTCCGGTTCCAGGGGAATCTGATGCCCTCTTCTGACCTCCGTTCAATGCCCATGGGCATTGCATGACATGAGTGTGCTGACATACACTCATACACATAAAATAAAAATAATAAATAAAATATTAAAAAAAACCCTACAATGTAGTAATTTTATGGAAAAAAAATTCTTTTAATCGCTAAGAGATCAAGCATTTGACCGGGAGAGAGTCAGAAAGTTCATTTATTCTTTTTCTATGCATGAGATCCCAGAATCTTAAATACATGGTATACCTACAGAGGGAATATGGAGACTTTTACATACAGGCTACAAACTTTTCCCCCTATGTGCTGCTACCAAATTAAGGAACTCTGGGGATCGGGGGCGAAGAGATAGCTCAGTGGTTAAGACTGTGTACTGCTCTTGCAGAGGGCCTGAGTTTGGCTTCTAGCACCCACAGCATCGGCAGCTCATAATCACCTGTAAATCCAGTTCTAGGGAAACCCTCTTCTTGCATTCATGTGCAAACCCATACTCAGACACACAGGCCTACACATAATAAAAAATAAGTCTTAAGCTGCGTGTGGTGGTGCATGCTTTCAATCCCAGTACTCAGGAGGCAGAAGCAGGTGGATCTCTATGAGATCAAGGCCAGCTTGGTGGACGTGGCAAGTTCCAGGCCAGCTGGGGCTACAGGGAGACCCTGTCTCAAAAACAAACCCAAACAAACAAAATCTTCAATAGTTAAGTAATTCTTTCAGAGGAAGCTATAATTCTTCTTGAAAAATATAGTACTTGCTAGTCTGAGCTACTGCCCTTCATTTTGGTCCACAGGCCAAAACCAACTCAGAAATGGTCTGATCCATTTTACTTAATTTACACAGGAATATCTGTATCTGTATATCTATCTATCTATCTATCTATCTATCTATCTATCTATCTATCTATCTATCTATCTATCTATCATCTATCTATCTATCATCTATGTATCATCTAATCTCTATTTTACTGCTAGTTAGAACGCCCATGGATGGATAAGGAGTCTGGTGCTATCTGGAAGCATCTTCCTCAGGCTTCTTGGAAGGACCGTGTACAAATCTGCTTGTCTCTCCCTCCTTGTCTCTAATCTGTTATCTGAACGCTGGCTCAACCTTCTCATCCTTCCAGGCTTTCTTCACACTGCTTTGTCACAGGGTCTAGACACTTTCGATTTGATACCAGCTTCAGCCAATCATAGATGAGAAGGTGCATAGCATGAAGATGCTGACAGTTCTCACCTCTCCCTGTCCCGTGACTTTCCAGATCCTTCTCACCTTTGTCCTGCTGCTCCTTATCCTGAAATGTCCTCTTCATCCCTTAAATACTTGCTCCTTCTGTCACTGAGGTCTCAGCAGTGACCCCTACCCTCAACCCAGTCCCAGTGACAGCCATTATCTTCCCTTCCCAGGATATCTATCCTCCCAGGGACAGTCCTTTGTTCCTTGTTTTCTTCCCTACTAGAAAGTGAGGGCAGGACCTTGGCTGGCATCATCCTCAGGGCCTGTGAGCACACCTGCTGTAGGGATGGATGGACAGTTAATAAGTAAATAACTTCAACAAATGACATCTTTTCAGCAGCCTGAGTAATCCAGAGATGATTCTGGTTGTATCGTTAGTCATGATTATGTCTACAACCAAGAGGCATCTTTACAGTTTACCAGGCTGCTCTGGTAACAGCTTCCTTTACATTCTTCCTACACGCCACCTTCCTCGCACAAATTTACTGACTCTCAGTGTACATTTAAAAAAAGACATTGTTTTATTTCTACCAACAGGAGTGCACTTTGTGGTATGGCAGGTGTGTTGGGCTCAATGCAGGTGTGGCCAACAGAGGAGGCGATGACTGGGTGGCTGGGAAGGAAAGGGGAGGGTTAGTTGAATTTCTGGAGGAAGGAATCATGGCAAGCGATGGCTAAACCGCCAATCAGGTTTAGAAATTCTTGGAAATCTAGCTGCCCATCACTGTTGAGGTCCAGCTTCTTCATCATGCGGTCAAGGACACCAGGGTCCTTCTGGTTCTGCAAAGACAATAACATCTTCATGTTTCTCTTTCTAAGGTGCTTTCCAATATGCTGCCACGCATTCTTCTTGCTAGAGTATACAGGGTAGAGGAAAGGGGTCATTCCTATTTCTAAATCCCACATGAAGAGACAGAAAAGGCGAAGGAAGCTGCCTTGGCAGCAGACCTGGGCTTGAACGCACACTTTCTTACTGCTGCTCAGTGTTCTTTCCCTGACATTAGGGGTTATTCAGCTTTGCCAAAGTGTTTCCTTCAAGTGCTGCTGCAATTTCCACATATAAACCATACAGAAATGAAGTGGTTCAGGTAGAAAGAGGGTGCAGGTCCTACCTAAAAGCCTCATCCCCCATTCACTGGAGTCTCCAACATACAAGCACACACAAACACTACCTATATTTACACTTAATTTAGAAAGTCAGACCTGCAGGCTCATTAACCATATTTCAAGTGATAGGGGGTGAATGGCTGGTACCACTATGTGGATGGAGGCTACTGCATCAATAGTGTAGAAACGGCATTATTTCCACCATTGCAGGAAACCTTATTGGACAGGGCTGCCGTGTAGCCTTTGGGGTAGAGGAATAAAATTTGAAAACGATTCTATTATGCCATATATGATTTCATATACCACTCCCTGTACATGGAAAAAACCAAATTGCCATTTCCTATGTCAGGCAGTTTGTACAGTTTGGTCTTTATAACATATCTTATTTCAAAGCAATGGTTCTCTAAAGTGATGCATCACTCACTGTGAGGTCTAGGGATTCAGCCTGGGCTGCTATGTGGACCTCCTGGCCTGGAGTGAGGGAGGAGGCAGGAGTACAGGGATTCAGATGCTGATCCTTCATTCCTGATCAGTTTGACAAGGTCCTGCTTTGTGTTGTGGACAGTCTGAGGGTGTGGGGCTGGGACACTGCAATACCTTGGTGAAGGCAGCCAGCTCTGTGTTCATGAAGGTGAGGAACTCAGTCTTGGAGAGTTTGCTCTTGTTCCCATCTTTGCCACTATACTTCTGGAAAACAGCGATCAGGGACTCGATGCAGCGCTCAGTCTCTGTAGGTTTGGACATTTTTGCCTTCGAAGAAAGTAAATGCATGGGTCAGGTAAAAAATGCAGACATCATATTTGAGAGTTAGGAGGGCTAGACGCTGGAGAATGTGCCAGAGAATCACATCTCATTTTGGGTTGAAGCAATTTCTTAAAGTCCAGGTTATTTAATAGAGGGGAGAGGGGTCCAAGAGACCACAGAAAGTAGCATTATGCAAATTTCCTTTTCATAGTCCCGCCCGTGTGTTCCTGATGAGATAAAGGGCCCCATATAGAGTATGGCTGTATGTTTGAAAGCACTAGAGGGTCTGGACAAGGGTGAGACTTTACTGATATGCTTAGGAACTGTGAGTAAAGAAATGTGTAACTATATATCCACATATGTACACTAAACCTTGGCAAGAGATCATAGTGACCTTTTCCCCAAGAATGTGGAGAGAATATTGTGATGAAGGAAATGTCATTTCTTTTTAAATAATACCAAAATCTTGAAATTCATGCTTTTCAGTGGCGCACACCTTTAATTCCAGCAGAGAGGCAGAGGCAGAGGCAGATGGACCTCTGTGAGTTTGAGGCCAGCCTGGTCTACCTAGCAAGTTCCAGGCCAACCAGGGCTACATAGTGAGACCTTTGTCTCAAAACAACAACAAAACAAAACAAAAAAGAAACTCATACGTTTTCTTAGGAAAATGAAAAGGATGTCTAACTGTGTGCTGGGAGAGACACTAGAACATGTTGGATGTTCAAAAGTGGTTTCAGGCAGGTGTGTGATCCATGTACTTGGAGAATAGAGAGTTTGGGCCAGTTTGGGCTACATTGTGGAACCATAGTGTGTGTGTAAGACAGAGAGTTATATGCCACTAATTGTACATGTGCAGAGCTGAGGTGTGAAAAGGGAACTAGCATGGCAGTCACCCCTCAGACCTGGGCCTCCAAGTTTCTTTCTGCAGACTTTGGCCTTTGCTTCCTCCAAATGCCAGTAATTTCCACTGGAATGGTGGACAGAACTTCTTATTACAGAACTGAACCACAGTTGTGGTTGTGCCAGGAAGAGCATCAGTTCAGATCCCGTGTTGGACACCACTTTTCTCACAGCACAGTTCCTAAAGGAAATTCTACTGGGTTGAGTCATTCCAGCTGGGACTTGGGACCCCAGGACGCAGAACTGAGATGTTGTGCTCCCCCTGGTGGATAAGAACCGCAACTGTAGGATTTATGGGCGGCTGCAGGGCCACACCCTTTCCTTCTGAAAGCTTTCTCTGGACATTAGTAGCAACGATAGGTTGGTTTGGATGTTAACATTTGCAATTTAGCATTTAGTCTTGAACTTCTTTTTAGGAACAACTTCCAAAGAGCTGGCCTTCAGGTTCTGCAATCACACATGCTAAAGATTGTCCAAAGCTGTCAACATCACAGCGGCTGGTTTCTCCTGTGACTGTCCTCTGCCTCTTCAGGCGCTTTACCATGAACGCTGAGCTGCTGCTGTCCAATGTGCCTAGAAACACTTAGATCACCTGCTTTCTGGAGATAAATCCTTTCCTTTCCCAACACTCACAGTGTTAACTTTATTTCCTTTAAACGGAACTCTTACTCAAGGAGTGAAAAGTGTTGGTAGGTTCAGGGTGTGGAGAAAAAAGCAAAATACCACAGCCTAGAAACAGATGTGTTTGCACAACATGTCTTCCTATCAGACCGAAAAATCTCACTGCTTTATTAGTGTGTCATAGGGCAGCAGAAAGGTTGGCTTGGATGGCATGCTGGATGAGGAGAAGGTTCCAGGCTGAGGGGCCCAGCTGTGTGACTCTACAGATGCTTCCTCACCCCCTTTCCCTGCAGGACTGGTTGCTATCATGTAAGGTTTTGCCCACCCTGGGGCAGAGAGCCGGAAGGACAGGAGTAGCACTCTCCACGCCTCACTTCATCCTTTGGAGTTTTACTTCGTGGAAACTGACAGCCAGGGGAAAGTAGGGTGAATGGACACCGTGAAAGGATTTAAAAGACGCACACCAAACATTCAATATTCCAGGACCCCCCTCCCTCCATATGTGAAAAAGAGGTAACACAGGCACTGAGTCAACTATGGCATTCTTAGCCAACGCCCTCCCCTCAGGCCTTGACGTCTCATCCACCTTCACCCACTTCACAATCTGTAGGTGCTGAGGCCTGACTTTTCAAGGAACCCTGCAGGATGGAAAGGGGAAGCGGGGAAGATTACGTAGTAGGGGGTATAGATGGGCACTCCGAAGCAGAGGTCGGCAGGCTTTCTTTTTTTCATAAAGGGACAGCTGTAAATATTTTGCTCTTTGTGTTCCATCGGGTCCTGTCACTCTTCTTTGGTCCCCAGGCAGCCCCGGAGGACAATTCCTAACCAAAGGGTGTGGCCTAACCAAAGGGTGTGGCTGTGCCCCTGAACTTGAAACCCACTAGGCTCACCCGACGAACTTTGCTGCCCCCTTCTCTGAAGAGACCCTGGAGGAGGCAGACTCTGGGGTGAATTAATGGAAAAGTCAGAAAGAGTTCAAGGTGGGGAATGAAAGCTGAGCTTTGAACAGCAGGCGGGTGCCTGAGAAGCCGGAGGGACTAAAAGGAAGAGGATAGGAGCGGGCGGGCGGGGCGGCCGGTCCCACATTCCTGCGGGGGTTAGCAGGCCGCAGCAGTTGGCGGTTTCGGCTGTGTTTTGGCCCTTTGCCGGTTGCCGACTGCAACAGATTTCCCTCGGAACTCCAGCCTAGTGTACAGCAAAACCCGTGCCGCCGCCAGCCGGGTTCTGACGTCTGCCGGGCCTCCCGGACCTGGGGGCTTCGGCGCCCCCCCCCGGGTGCAGAAGAGGGTGCAGAAGGGGGTGCGGGGGGGTGCAGAAGCCCGTCCCTCGGGGACTCGGTCGCACCCTGTCCCGGGTCCTGCCATCAGCCATCGGGCCCAGACCGTAATCTAACCTGAGAAAACAGAAGAACGCCCCCGGCCTCCCCAGGGTGTCCTGACAGGTGTAATTTGGGGGCTCCCCCTTCTCTAATTGCCTCTCCTGGGAGTGCGTTTTCCTGACCAGTTTTCAGCCACGTCTACACGGAAATGAAAGATAAAGCCGGGCGGAGAGCTTGCTGTAGCTTCGTCCTGTGTTCTTTCCATCGAAAAGGAAAATGGAAAATAAAATTTGCAAAGTTAGACTTACCAAGTTGGAGAGGAGGGAAGCCGAGTGCGACTGCGGCGGGCGGCAGGCGAGGACTGGAGTGGCGCCGAGGATCCAGGTCCCGCCCTGAGGGGCAGCTCCGACGACTTAAGCCCGCCCCCCTCCCCCGCCCCCTCCCGCGACATCCGAACTCACAGCTCTGAAAGTCGCGTACACCCTGTCCTCCTTGAAACTTAAGAGGCCTTTCTCCCTCCTTGTCCTGTGAATCTTGAAGATCTTTCTTGAAGATCTTTGGCTTTACAGGAAGTCTGTTCAGGTCCCTGCCTCTTTTCCGCAAATGTATGGACCCACTCTGAAAAGGTTAGATAAAGGGAAATTCTCTTTGGAAAACAAGAATGTGGGTCATAATTGGCCAAATTTCCCTAGGAGCCAGGCTATCAAGATGCTGAATAAACTGGTGATTTTTTGTTTGTTAGTTTTCGTTTTTGAGACGGTCTTGTTAGGTAGCTGAAACTGACTTGGAATTCTCTATGTAATCCAGACTGGCCTCAAACTTTGAGACCCTCCTGCCTCTGCCTGCTGACTGCTGGACTTACAGGCGTGCACCACCACGCCCACCTCACTGTGGTGATAATTGCCACATGGACTGCCAACGGAATACTGATGATTATTGCCAAGGGATCATTGCCGCTCTTTCCTCAAACTTCGTTATTATTTTGTTTATTCTCTCAAACTTTAAAATGTCAAAACTAAGGAAGACAAAATGAAACGAAAACACCCAAACAACTGTTGCAGCCGAACACGGGCCTGTGCTAGTGGGCCATTTGCCTGGCTGCGTTTCAGTTGTATGAAGAACCTCTTCTGGGTTCACACTGTCACTGAAATACTTTTGACAGGACCCTCACTCTCTGAGCTTCCATTTCCTTGTCTGTAAACAAGTCATACTGTCTTTCCTATTTATTTAGTAAGACTTTCCTGACTGTCTCCTGTCTCGTAAAATGATGGCTTTGAGAGGACTCCAAAAACTGCGGAGTAGATGTGGCAGGTAGAAAATGGGGCGAGGGGCACTGTGGGAATTGCTTCCTAGCATCCACTGTCAACTGGTGCTGGCCTTCCCTGGGCTCATGAGGCCAAATCTTCATCTCGACTCCAGACTCACAATTTCTGTTGCTTGTTTAGAAACCTGTTTGAAACGGAGCGTGGTGGACTATAATAGCCCTCCGGAGGCAGAAGCAGGGCCATTTGCTGTGCACTGGAGGCCAGCTGGGCTACATTGTGAAGTTCCAGGCCAGACTAGCTTAGAGTAAGACCTTGTCTCAAAACAAAATAAACAAAACAAAACAAAACAAAACATTAACTCACTTGAAAGCCCCATCTGTTTCTGAGACTCAGTAATTTAAGAATGACTAGTTCGGTCACGTGCATTCCAGGCTCTGTGCGTGCTAGGCCGCAAGCCCAGAGAGATCTAGGGTCCCGGACTGATCGTGTCGGAATCCAGTCGTCTCCGAGCGCGTGGACCGCTGAGCGGGATCCCGAGAGAACCAGAGACCGCCCTAGGACTTCGCGTGACAGCCCCCACGACGCCATACACCAGCCCCTGGACCCTGAGACGGGCCTGTGAGATCCGTGGCCCACACGCTAATTAACTCTGACCTCCAGACAAGGACAGAAACCAGAAAGCACGACCGACACCTAGAAAGGCATTTTCATAACCAAAAGTGTGAGAGATAAACGTGGAGATCAAAGCACAAGACAGTAAATTCGCTGTTCGAGAGGCTTGTTAACCATTGTATGCTCAGCACTGACCGTGTTGGGGCCAGTACACCCACAGAGGGTGTACTTCTAGAGAGGAGATAGACGAATGTAGTACTTAAGCCATAAGTACCGTGAAGAAATAAAAAAGCTGAGTAGAGGGTTGGGGAATTAGTTGTGGGTTGAGACATTTGAAAAACGTTGAAATTCAGGGACTAAGACCATGGTTGATAGAGTTGAGCAGAAACAGATGGGACTTAGTGAAATGTAACACCAAGATGGAATTGTTAAAACATCAAGATTTAGAAGAAAACTAGACAGACGTTGAGAGCCAAAGCAAGTCACAAACACCAAGAAACTGAAGGATAAAAATTGGAATCCTAAGGTAGATGGACAGGGAGAAAACTGAGGAGAATGGGCTTGTAGGTGAGGCTTCCTGCTGCGTCTGGGAGGGGGATAGGCGCAGTGGACTTCTCACCCTCTGGCCACACTAAGATCTAACTTACACATATCAACTCTGGACTTCCGGACATCAATAAAAATCAACCAGTCTGACTCCAAGGAAAATAAGAATAAAAAAAAAATGAGGTAGGAGCTGTGGGTATACCTCAGTGGCAGAGCGCATGCTTATCATATGGCAGGCTGGGTATTCAATTTGCAGCACTAAAACTCAACAAAATCCCGTAGGAATAAAGGAACAAAGAACTAGAAGTTAAAATTAGTCCTTCAAAATGTATGTGGGCCATCCAGCAGATTCAATTTAAAAAATATTTAACACTATAGCTCTATTGAGAGAATGTTTTTTCTTTTTTAAGACCAAGATAAATGGAAAGTAATATGAACTTAAAACCACAAAAAGAGACAGAAATAACTAGTTTTCTCCTCATCATCTCCATTTCTGCTAATATGGCCATTCACCCATTTTCCTTACTTGAAAACATTAGCACCATGTTTTTTTTTTATTTTAACTTCTAGTT